ATATATAATGACCAAGGTAGGGTACAGCTGCTGCAGTCATTGATACTGCAAAATTTAAAGCTTCTACGCTCACATCTGTTTATATGGATGTCTTAAAGCGATTGGAACGTAGTCCATCACCGTAATTTTTTAGCGATGTCTTCAGAATTTGGATGTAGGAAGGAGTTTGGTCGGACATTTCTATCCATTGTTTACTTTTGAACAGCGCAATTTTTTTGACTTATGGATACCTTGTCATTGTTGTCGTTAGAAAAATTTCAGTTTACGCTTTTATTCTGTTACAGATTCGTTACTGTTTTTGTATTCTTTTTTCCTCTTTGCTAATAAACTTAGATTGAAATTAACCAGAAAGTTTCTTTTCATACTATGTCAGTACTTCTTTCAAAAATAATTATTAATTTAACGTTATGTGTATGATGGTTAAAAACATTTTCTCCTATAAAGATTGGTGATAAACAGCTTTCCCAGTTTACTTTTTTTTCGTTTATTCTAAATAGAGACTGATTTGGAAGGCCATCTTGAGCCGAAGATTAAAGATTTTCAAACTTTTTTTTAGAAACCACTTTTCTGGCCGGTAGGTTTCTGCCTCTTGATGGTGCTGATGTTTCAGGATCAGTTCTAGCCCTGCGTGATATTTGAATATATCGATAGATATCCTGCTTCATCATGTATACAAAAAAGCTAGGGAAGATCTAGAGAAGTAGCTTTTTCCTTTCGTGAAATACACTTTTGAAGGCTTATTTTGCAGAGCTCGAGATCTGTATTTGTGAAAAGTGATAAATTTTTTTTATGCAGACGTAATCTATTTCATTTTCGTCAAGTAAGTAAGCTAATAACAAGTGTTTCCGTCAGTGTTACGGTAGTGTTTTCGCTTTTTAACAACGATGTTTGAACATGCGGCAGCTTTAATTTTCTTTCACCTTTTCGTGAGATTTGTTTGTTGGTACCGTCTAAATTGAGGGGGGTTGTATGAGGCTAAAGAAACTTTAAGAGATTAGAGTGATTTGACTCAATTCTTTTAGGACGAAAATACGATAAAAAGAAGTTTCATTTTGACCTAATTTTTTCAAATGGAAGTTCCAGGTTACTCGTCTTCTTGTACGCTGTAATTTGTGTATAAAGATAGCGAGAAGGGTGCAGCGAACCTTTAGTATTCATCTAACAGTTGTTTTCTTCATTTAGTGAAAAATGCCGCAGAGGTTACATTACAGACGCCGGTTGCCATATAAAACGGCTTCGAACAAGACCAGGGTAATTCATTATCTCGGTCCGTACGGGCTTTTCATTTCTATACAAAACTGCGCTTTCGTAGCTTGATTGTATGAATATTCAGGTTTCCAAAACTCCTGGTGGTAGATTAGTGTTTTTATACAGAAAGAAGCAAGGAAAGATTCCACGATGCGGCGACACTGGTGTTAAACTGAAGGGTGTAAGTAGTCCATTCTTTCATTCTGAGGAAAAAATTTTGTTGAATTTTGTCTAGTTCTTTAAACTTAACTAGTTCTTTGTCCGACTTTCATTTTTTTTTTTTAATGTTTGTGTAAGTTGCCAGCAATGCTTTACGTAGTTAATCTTCTGCACTTTTAATGTTTTAGGGCTTCATGGTGCTTTTCAGATAACTCCTGCAAGGCCAAGGCAATTATCTAAAATGACCAAACGGTTAAAGAAGGTTTCGCGCGCATATGGTGGATGCTTGTCGGCCGCTGCAGTTAGGGAAAGGATTATTCGGGCATTTTTAATTGAGGAACAGAAGATAGTAGCAAGAGTACTAAAGGCGAAGAAGCTTGAAAAGAAATGAGGCTTTGATCAGCTTTTCTTTGTTGCTTTGTTACATTTTTTGCGATAAAGATATGGTCGTTATGTTTGGACTTTGCCGTCCCACTTTTTTATCTTACCTTAATTAGTAAAAAGAAGCTACAATTTTTACTTGAATTCTCATTGGTGTTATGGTAGCCGATACAAGCCAACTTGGGAGTTTGTTACATATAAGTTCCTTCGGACCGAGATATTGGTCTTGTCACGGCGTTTGGTTTACTGTTTGATGCTTTGCAAGTACTGTGGCGTCATAAGTTTATTTTTTTGTTCTCGGACGGTTTAGATGTATTTTCGTGTTATTTTGTTTTTCTGGGTGGTGTTGCAATTGAGTAGATTGCCAGCGGGTTGAGAAATGGAGAAGTGAGGAGTCTGATAGCAATTTTCATTGTTTGAGGGCGGGAGGGTGGGGGGAGGGCTAGTGATATTTTTGCTTTGAAGTGTTGGGTTTCTTTTTGTGGGGTAGAGGGAGCATTTTTAGTGCAAGTGGTTTTAGGCTACAAGCAAGTAGAGTATGCTATGTTTCTTTGGATTTACTAATTTGGTAAAGATCTGTTATTTTTACTAGAATGATGAAACGACTGTGTTGTCGTGCTTTGTTGAATTGTGGCATTCGGAATTGCCTCAAAGAGTCGGCGTCGAAACGGGCCATATTACCGGTATTGTGCAGAAAGAGCATGTCAAGACCTTGTTCGTTAGCGAGACCCCCAAGTGTCCGACACTTGCATCTAACGACATCGTCTTTCAAAATTAAGAAAGGGGAAAAAAGTGTTAGTGATGTGGTTCCTATTTATTTTCAGCAGTGTAACTTCTAGAATTGTTTGCTGAAGATTTCGTTCATAAGGCGCACATTTAATGTTTCATACGGAAGAACACCACTCTGTTTATAACTCTGTGGTTTAAATTAGAACCCAATGCAAGACATACGTTTATACATTTGAACAAATATTGTCTATTATTAGAAGGTGAATCCATTATTACATTCTATCAATAATGAATTTACTCGGAAAGCTGGCAAAGAGATGGATGATTTGGAGAAGACGCTTGAAGAAGAGTTAGCAAAGCACTTTTCTCTGCAGTTTGATATTCGGCAATATGAAAATCTTCCTGTGGAACTTGAAGATAACCAGGTGAGTTTCAGAACAAAGCTTACTGCGACTCTTGGGTGTAACTGATAATTGAAGTATTTTAAATTAATCTTGGACTATCAAAAATCATTGTTAAGGTTGCACCCTTGAGCAAGCTGGGTCGTGTGAGTATGCTCAATCCGCAAGTGGTATCTGTTAATTTCACTGAAAATCCAGCTGCATTGAAGCCGGCTAAACTAGCAATTGAAAAATCTAATCTTGAAGTGAGCCCGCAACAGGATGGTCTCTCTCTCTTCATGCATATTCCAAAACTAACTCGGGAGAGGAGGGAACGGCTTGCAGCGTCTGCAAAGAAAACCCTTTTCAATGACTACAAAACTGCCTTAAATGAAGTAAGTTTTATTGACTCCTAACCTCTAAATATTTCCTACAGTAAGTTACGGAAAGTAGTTTGCTTTAGAGGTTAAATTGGCAGTCCAAGAAATATTGATGACAACTCTAGTTATAAATCTGTGTATCCTCATCAATTTTTAGCTGTTTTCGAGGATTGAAAAAAAAGTTGACAAAGATATGAAAGCTGAAGATGAAAGAAGGAAAACGCATGCAGCACTGCTGGCAATGAAGAGACAACGAGAAGCTAAGGGACTAGAAAGGATTGAAGCCGCAAGGGCAGTTTTACTCAAAGAAGTTGCCTAAATTATACTGCTGAAACTGCTGTATCTTTGCTGGTTGTAAAGGTGTTTTGAAGTTCTTTCAGTTCTTCAAATACATCACGTAACGCAAAAATATTTACGGCAGCCTGGGTAGGCCCGCTGGAAGATTAACGGGTGTTTTTCGCTTTCCTTTTACATTCAATTAGCTTTTCTTCAGTTATGATTTTAGCGACTTTAGAACTCATAATTTGTGTCAAAAAATACCAGTTCTATTTCTTTTGCATAGTTCCAAAGGAACCAAAGAACATCTCTCGCAGGTATGAAAGGTTTTTGTCTTTCCACTCTAGTAATTGCTCAGAAATGCTGGTGTTGCTTGACGTTGCTTATTTCTCTGCAGTTGCGGGTTTATTCGATCTTAATTCACATACCTATATTTGTACAATAAAGAATAAAATTTTCTTTTGCGCTCAAATTGTCAGAGACCTGTGGAATATAACAATATTCTCCGCAGATCACAATTTTAAGTAATTCTATTTCAAGGAAGATGATAGGATGCCAGAGAACACCAACTATGGGTAAGTCTTTAACAGAAACAACCAATAAATCACATCAAAGAAGCAAACAATATATTAGTTAAATTGAAATCCATCGACATTAGAATTATGCTGTCACAGCTTCATGTCTTCCAACTGCCGGAAACCATTTTTATCTATTATCATTACCTAAAACCAAATTGGACATGAAAATATAACCCAACATAAATTACCCCAAAAAGTTTCCACAAATTAACGTCTTAGGTGTTCTTCAGCAAACCTGGTACGAAGAAAGGTTCGCTATAAATCTTCGTTTACACTCTTCCAAGCACTTCTTCAAAGCATCGAGACCTTCATTTTCTGACATATCTAAATCGATATTTCAAAATTATTCAAAGACCAATAAGTGTTACTTTACTTTGTAAAATGTCACTTTTCAGCAGATACGAAACTAAACAATGAAATCTTTTTTAAAGAAAGAGAAAGTGCTAAGGGAAATGTAACAATGTCCAAACCATTTCGGTAAACTCTGTCCAATATTGCGTAGCAAAACCTCCCGCAGAATCCTCGGAACAAATACGGCTAGAAAATTAAAAGTGGTACAAAGCTGAATGTAATGAATATTCGTCAATGCAAAGAAAATTTTTAAAATTCGTACTTGATCTGCAACACCATTCCCCAGGTAATCTACTGAACCCAAAAATGCCTTTTTCTTATAGTCGTCATAACCACCAATTAATGTGTCTACTGTATAATAATCTTCAGTCCGTAGAGAGTTCGCAATACTTCTCCGGATCCAATGATGACAAGACCGAGGGCTCATTTCGTATCCTAAATTAAAGCTATAATATCTATAAAGCTTGCTTTTTATGTTTTATTCCTCCACACTACCACTTACTACATTGAAAACAGCAAATTACACAGCTACCTCCAGGGAAAAAACTGTAGAGAGTAAAAGACAGAGAAACCTAAATAGGCACGCTGTAGAAAGAGAAAAAAAAACGAACTACAAATTCCTACACTAATTGACCACCAGGAAAAAGCTAGTCACGCTGGAAGCGAAATAGGAAGGAGAATAATTACTACATAAGAAGTTTCAAAACATAGCTGCTTGATTCGTTCTAATACTGCCAAAAAATGAGCACCACTCAAACACTTCTCGACGTACACGAAATAGCAATAAAGAATAAGCGTGAAATTAAAGCTAGCTTATTAAAAACTTACCATAACGAATTTTGTACAGCTGGATATTCCTTTGCGTCCAATCGCCAAACTGATCAACGTCACCATCTTCTCCAATGCATAGCATCACCAATTTGTCTCCCAATTTGAATTTTTTATCTTGTTCTGTAACAAAAAATAGGGTATTTTAAAGTATAACAGGTTTTTAGAGGTTTTTCACCTGTGCAATAACTTAAACAAAAAAGTTTTCCCATATTTAGTGAAAAACTTACCATCTGAAACAAGGATGGCTCCATGGGCAAAACAAGCACGGTCAGCGGCGAGTAAAACATAATCGTCTGTACAAATACCAGCCAAAAAGTGTATCCCTGACATCCAGTAAAATCCAGCAAAAAA